CGCACAATGGGCTATTCAGTAGATCAATAAGTAAACCCATCCCTAAGAGAAGAGCAGAAGACAAGGGGAGCCACAAAAAGAGGCAAAATGAAAACTCTTTGGGGCTCTCCAGCCTCCTGCCCTCAGACGCCTGCCAGAAAAATGGAATCCAGAGGCTCACTGTTTGTATTGAGAACAAAGCCAATGCTGAAGCCTAACAAAGAGCTCTAAACAGAAGTGCCAGCCAGTTTACAACAGGCAGCAGTAGGGCTGAAAAATAGCTTTAAAGACACAACTGTGTGCCAGATGCAGAAAAGGGAAACTGAACCCCTTCATGCACCAAAGTTATAAACAAAGGGCTTCCCAAGCCAGCACCCCACCAACATAACCCCAGTTCTGGCAGGGGTGGGGCATAGTGTGGCTCCTACACCAAATCACTCTATCGCTAGACCTCAGAGGAGTGAGAACTTAAACGAAGCACGTGCCTCACCGAGGGAAAGGACGTGTATGTGTGAGGTGGAGACATGTGGATTATTAGAGGAGACATCCAAGAGTTTCCTAAACTTCCCCCCATGCCAAGATTTGGAGCCTCAGCCATAAAGGTAGTTTTTTCTGGCATTCTGGATGCAGCATTGAAGATATTTTGTGTGTTGCATTAAAAAGAGCTCCCAAGAAAAGTATATCGTTAAGACTCTTTTTAGAGAAGCTTTTATAATTAGATCAATTTATGTGGGAATTAGATAGTTTAGGAGGGAAGGTCTAAACAGAAGTCTAATTGCAAGAGATAAATATAATAATTGGTATGCAAACAGGCTTTCAGAATCTGTTTAGAAGTTAAAGCCAAAATGAAAAAGCAATGCATTTTAAAAGGGCTGTTGAGGGAGGGGCCACAGGAAATACTTTCTTAGAACAGCTATAATTAACCTGAAAAACTCATTGTTTTTAGATAACCTGCTAAAGCTGAACATGCATGAAACTAAAAAAGAAAAAAGACAGCATCTGCAGAAAGTACTTGGCGAGGGTAAAAAGAACAAGACTGTGCATCCTTCATGAGGCAAAGGCCACACAAACTGTAGAAGCAAGGAGGTAGTGCCCGCCTTACCCATTGGCTCGAATTCATGCTCTGTTCAAGCCAGGACTCTTATCCCCAGGTGGATCAATCTATCTGGAAAACCAGCCAATGAAACCCCTATGGATCACAACAGTCCAATCCATAACTGATCGTGAGGATAGCACAGTACCAGGCCGCTTTTCGCTCCACTGTGCATGGGGTCGCCATGAGTCAGGGGCCAACTTGACAGCAGCTGACAACAATAACAACACACTGTATAATGGCCTGTTGGGCCACCCTGAACTCCCGATGACATCGAGTATATCTCAGCTTCCTACAGTTTTCCTTCATGGCTTTGCCATTCACACATCTGTCCAAACTCTTCTGGAATCAAGTTGCAAACTTGTGCCAACTCTGAGAAATAATGCATTCTATAAATTCATTACCTGCTGTCTAAGTAGTATTTCCACTTACTTGTCCCAAACATGCCTCATTCATGGTTCCAAGGCAGTGCTGTATTTCAGTGAATGAACAAGTCTGTGCTCATCTTCTCCACACCGTTTATAGGCTAATCATATCCCCCTCACAACTTCCGCCTTGTCAGCTGCCCTCTGGCATTCAGTTCCTCAGATCATTCAGGTTGCCATTAAGGGACTTTCCCTAGCCCTGTTTGATCCTTTTAGGCCCTCATGCAGTGTTACAGGCAAGAACATATCACCGTTTAGGCGAGATGTTCTCAGTTTAATATTTTCCATACCTAAAAAATATGCTCATTTTTGTGCAGCACTGTCTCAGGAACAACCCTGGTGGTGCAGTGGTTAAGAGCTCAGCTGCTAACCAAAAGGTAGGCAGTTCAAATCCAGCAGCCACTCCTTGAAAACCCTATGGGGCAGTTCTACTCTGTCCTATAGGGTCGCTATGAATCAGAATCGACTCGATGGCAAAGGGTTTTTGGGGATCCCGGGTGCAACCACAGGATATTAGACATGGCTTCTGAACTCACAGAGTCTGTAAACTGATGGGAAACTGCCTCCAGCAGCACACGGTGGATTGGTGCTGATCAATACGACAAGTGTACCTGCTGGAAATAGGGCATTACCAAGAAAGAAAAGCAAGTGTAGTCAGTCTTCGCCTTCAAAGCAGGCTAAGTTTCTACACTTAATACCCCATTGATCTGCACAACATTCCAGGAGGGAACTAATACTTTTTATCCCCCAATAGACTGACATGAAACCAGAATTCAGCAGGTGCTAAAGTCGGCAGGGGGCAAGGGGGTGGTCACTTAAAAAAAGGTTCAAATTTCTGTCTCAGTTCACAAACTGGCTTAATTTGGTTTCTTCTTCTTCTCCTTTTTTTATTTATTAGATATTAATGCTGTTTCCCTCCATTTAGAGCTCATTAACCTCTTGACCACCCTCAAATATCCTTACTGAAAACATGAAAAATAATGAGGATTAAGTAAAATGTAAGAGCACTGTGATTGCCTGGGGCCATTTATGAGTTCATCGGAGCTGGGTTTTCACTGCCAAGAGAATGAAATAGTAGGTGGGTGCTCTAACCTGCTTTTTTGTAAGGGAATCATCATCCACCCAGAGAACATCCTTTCTCACATCTCTGCCAGATGCCCACTCCTTTTCTTCTGCCATAATTGTATCTTCCTCACAGTGTTAATCTCTCAACAGATGTCAGCAGCCTTGGCAATCCATTGTGAGCAAAACCGCCATCTTGCCCAGGTGTAAGTAACTGGTTTCTCTGCCACAGAAGCTGTTCGTTTTTCAGCACTAGGCTTTCCTCACTTACTGAGATATTACAGAGGTACCACCTCATCCACGGGCCTTAGATTTTCTTTCTACCATCTGACAGTCATGTCCATGAAGCCCTGAGTTCCAGTTGATTGCCTCATTTTCTCTCATTTAGTTTCTTCCTGTTTCCTGATAAAAACAAGCCTAAATAATTGTCACCTTGGTCAGGGCCAATCTGTAATGTTGCCTTAGATTCCCAGGAAAGTACAGTATTTTCTGTAGCCTTCCCCCAATAAGCCTCTTTCCAATCCTGTACGTTACCACTGTTTAAGTGTGGAATTCCTTCACAGAAGACAATTTCCTCCTATACCGGATGATATAGTGGTAAAAGGATGGATTTGGGGGTCAGAAGCACTTGGTCTCAAAGCTGGGCTTCACCATTTATTAGCTGTGTGACCTTGAGGAAGTTACTTAACTTCTCTGAAACCGTTTCTTCATCATTAAAGTAAGGATAATACTACATTTTGTAAGTGTGTCATGAAAGATTGAATGATATGTGTAAACCTCCTGGCACAGCATCTGGTATACTTTCTCAACATGGAAGGAGACCTGCATTCTCAAATCCTCAGGTCAACATTCAGGGACTTACTACCAGCCCTCCTGACCGGTCTTCCTCAATGTTCTGTTAGACTCTATACTCTGGCTTCAGGCTACAGGAATTTTAGGAGAATCAAGGAATATAGGTAGACAACTGTAGGTTCAAAGTGTCATTACAGATTGAGCTTTTCCCAGTTTGGTAAACATATCTACTGTGGAGGCCCCTCAGTCTAAGCACTCTGAGTCAATTGCTGGAGCCCACGTCTAGGCCTTCTTTTCCCTAAGAACTCTGCATCCTCTTTTGAGCCCTATCTTCTTCCATTCCCTGTGGCTCTATTTGACTACTTGTTAGCCCACCTGCTTCTGGGATCCCTTCCCTTCTTGTTCAAATCCAGACTGAGTTGACTCCACCTGGATTTCTGGGAAGATAGTCTCATCTAATTGCCCACCACTGGAGAAAACATTATTTTCTCTTTCCCTAACTATTCTTGGCCTTTTCTGCTTGAGGTGCTGGGTTTCTCTTTGGCTTTTCAACTCAGAACCATTTAGTTTCTCCTGCACAAACAAAAAGAGATCTCTTGTTTCTATGTCATAACAGTTGGCTACACCAGTCATTTTAATGCCCACACGCAGAGGCCAAAGGACACCAGCTCTCAGGAGCACTCTGTGGAGGACAAATCCCAGCTTAGGCTTAGCTTGGTATCTGTGCACCTGGCAGTGAAGGACCTCCCGTGATGACTCTGAGGGGACCCTAGGCCCACAGCCAGGTCTTGGCATCTCCCAGACTCCCCACCCACAGTAACTTTGGCAACACTGAACAAGCTTCCGGTCCTGGGTCACCAGAAGCTTTGGCCTGAAGTCCTGGATCCAAGAGTGGCACAGGCCTTTTCATTTTCTAACATTACAGGTGCTTGGGATTGGATTCAGGAGACCCGAACAAAAAGTGAATAGAAAGCAAACGAAAATAAGAGGGGAAAACCCCCGGGAACTTTCTGAAGGCTGTTTTCTTCGCCACCTCTGCGCTGACAGCTCCTGGTAGTGCATAGCTTTCCTTAACACCCTCAGTGAGCAGCCGCAAGGACTTTTCTGAGGTGTTGCGTACACTGGACGGAGCACACTGAGTTGACTCACAGAGCTGTCTTTTTCTTTGTCCAGGTAAGGCTTTTAGAGCCTTCACCCAAAGTGCCCCATCATTCCCATCTCTGATGCCCCCTACCCACCCCTTTCCAAGAAGACTACTCCATTAGGCAGCACTAGGCTGTTTTCACTTAAGCAGGCTTCCCCCGAGGTGTCTCGCATCCCTAGGAACATTCGTCCCTCTGTGAAAGAAACTGGGGACACACTCCACAGGCGAGGAGAACGGCTGTATTCTGAAGCAGGCGTGTTCCGCGACCGAGGGGCTCGAATGCGTAATGGCGGGGGTGGGTGGGGGTGTAACTGGCGGAAAGAGCGGGAGAGAGGGCGCGCCTGGGGCGTGGGTGCCCAAGAAGTCCAAGGGCACCACGGTCTGTTTGCTCCGGAGAGAAAGCTTGGGCCGAGCCCAGGGAGCGGGAGAGCGAGCCTAGTCTGAATCAGGAAGTTGTGTCTGTGACATCAGGGGCAGGACGGAGTTGAAGTGAAACCTCAAAAATGCGAGGCGTCAGCCAGCGGGAGGGCAGAGAACACAGAGGGCGCCTTTCTCAGCGGGAGCGGCAGGTACGGGCGGCGCCGGCGGGAGAGCGCGGGGCGGGCACCACTGCCCCTGGGCGGCGGCGCGGCCGCCCCTCTCCAAACCACGCTGCCGGTGGAAGGGGAGGGGCGAGAGAAAAGAAACCTTGACCTCGCCCCCAAACCCTGGCCGGTGTCGGACCAGGCGGCACCGGGTAGATCCCTCAGCGGTGCCAGGAGGAAGCCCTCCGTGAACTGAAAGGTGAGTTTCAAGAGTTTTTGTTGTTGTGTTTTTTAAATAAATTTAAGCTGCCCTCTGTTTGGAATGACTCCCCACTCCTCTCTAGAAAGATGAGACCAGCCCCAGACATAAGTGAGATTTAAGGATTTTTTTTTTTCTAGATAGCCTCTTGACCTTTCACAACTTCAGTTATAGTTTGTTTTCCTTCTTTTGCGAGGATTCTCATCCGCCCTCCCCTACATCTGCTTCTGGACAGAGTTCATATGGGTTCCTTGAGGTGGGCGGGCGGTGGAGTTCTGTTACTCCAGTTGACAAGAGCTGCCTTGGAAGGGACAGATAAACATTCTGTTTGCTACTGAAAAAGTCAAGGCCTGAGACCCTCCAAGAAGTAGCATGGGCTTAGATGTTTCTGAATCCTTAGATGTTTCTAAAGCCAATTTTTCAATGGAGTTAACGAACTGGACAAAGCAAAAGTATGGCCTGGAGCCAGGGGCGGAGTGGGGACCTGTCTGCTATTCCCAGAGCCTCCAGGGAATTTGTTGTGACACAGATTGCTTCCTAACTTCTTTGAATCTTTATAGACCGCCCCACTCCCAGACCCCTACCCCACCCATAAGGTAGAATGGGAGACCCAACAGGACCTGTTTCCCTAGCATTTTGAAGAGCTTCCCAGAAATGCATTATGTAATCATAGAGTTAAGTAAACGATAGACCTTGGCTGGTGGGAACACACACTTCTCCTGCCTTACTGAAAGGGAAACTGAAGCAGGGACAGGCGCTTGCCCTAATTTAACAGAAAAGCTGGCAGCCGCGTGCTGCGCTACCTAGCAGGACCGCTCCACTGACTCTTTTGAATGAGGAACGGGAGGAAAAGAACGCTTGAGCATCTCAGAAGCACCTCCCTTCCCTTCCAAAGCTGTTGTGTTTCATTTACTCAGCTAAAGTTCATAAGAACCTGAAGCTAATTTTAAGCAACCCTCATTCTGAAGCCCTGTTGGATGATGGGAGAGCCTTGAGTTATAACAAACAGGACTTAAAAATAGCCTGGATGCATCTTGTTCATGACCCTTTTACAAATGGTTTGCAAGTTCCCCCTAAAGAATTCAGCAGGGATCTTGCCCGCTTTTAAGCTGACTCCATCTCCTCAACCACCTAGTCTGATGTGTCTTCCTTTTCTTCAGTGCTCGGCCGGGGAAGGAGCCCTATGTAAAAATCTGATTGAGCCCTTGGTTACATCTGACATTCTGATCCCCTACTCCCACCCCAGATACAATTTTAGGAAAGTGATGCATTGCAAAACAACTGTTTCTGTGATCCCCATGCTTTGTCAATATTTAGCTTGTGGAATCAACAGAAGGATGACTTCTGCCCTTTTCCCTCCAGATTAAACCCAAAAGAATAATGAACACTCAACAAGCTAAGTTACTGATTTTATCCAAGAGGGAGGCACATCCATCCATCTGTCCATTCATTCAACCTTTATTCTACCTACTGTGTGCCAGGCAGTATGCCAGAAGCTGAGAGTCCAAGGATAATGAGACAGTTCTTGGTAAATGAGACAGGTACAGAAACAACTACAGATCAGAATACTGCACATCATCACAGTAGAAGCTGTGGGGCACTGAAACAGTCACACAGATAGGGGGGATAAACTCCCCCAGGAATTATCTGAGAAGTCATTACTGCAGAAGTGATGGATAAGCAGGGTCTTGAAAATGATTAGGAATTCCCAAGGAAAGGATATTTCCGGCAGAGGAAAGAGCACATGCAAAGTCAATGGCAGGCTGGGGGAGCTGCAACCCGTGGTGATCACACTACTATACTATTAGTAGTAGCACTACTATAGTGCTGCTAAAAACTTTAAAGCGAACAGACTTCTCACAGGGGCTGTTTGTTGATGTGTTTGTGTTTGGATGTGTGTTTGGAGACAGAACTAATGACCAGCTGGAGGCCAGCTTGGAGAGATGGGAAACAGATAATGAGGACCTAAGCTAAGACAGTGGCAGTGGGAACTAAGGAAAGCGAATGGATTTTAGTTGTGCTTAGGAAGTAGCATCGAAAGTGCCCGGTGATCAAATGAATGTGGGAAGGGAGGAATGAGTGGAACAGAGGATGATTATAAAGTGTTGAGCTGAGGGGAGAGGGGTTGGGGGGGTCCATTGTGATGCCATCAATGGAAATAGTGTAAAGAAGAAAAGGGGCTGGGGTAACAAATTGTGGCAGAAGGCAATTACCACTTTAGACATTGAAGTGGGACATACCCAGGAAATGTCCAGGTGGAGATACATGGTAGGCAGTTGAGTGTACAGGTGTGGAGCTTAGGGAGAAGTGGAGGCTACACCAGTTTAACTGTCCCAGGTGTTGTACATAAAGGCAGTGTTGTCAGCCACTCAAGGCTTGCGGTAGCACTATCAGTGAGACTACATGGATGCTGAAGAGTCTTGGATTTGTCAGTAGTGTTCCACAGATGCTATTTTCATATTGTACAGTGACTTCCAGATAACTCTGTCTAGACTTCAAAGGCTCTCCCAGGATGCCTTGCGAGATAATACCTAAAATGGTGGAGAGAATCATGGTTTTGGCACACAAGTAGTACAGATGCATTTAACTAAACAAGGCAGGGAAAGCTTAAAATCAAGAATCCCTCCCCCATGTGAAAAATGAATACTTCAGTTCCATTGTAAGATTTGCCAAGACCTCTCCAAAACTTATACTCCAAGTCTTTAGTTACTGAGCCTGTGTGGGAGAGGCCTGCCTTCATTAAAACAAGAAGAATGATCTGCTCAAACTTCCGTAGTAGTTCTTCAGGGCTGAATGCCAATGCCCAGATCTGGAGCTCGTGTGTCCCTGGTGTGGAAGAAAAAACCTTGAACTTGGAGCTAGACAGACGTGGGTTCAGTTCCTGGCTTGATCACTTATTTGCTGACCTTGAAAACGTCATTGAATCTCTCTCAGCTTTAGTTCCCTTATATTTAAAATAGGGCTAATTATTATTCACTAGGGTGATGGTTAGAATCAGAGGGAAAGAGAAAGCATGTTTTAATGTGCTATATAAATTCTAAGGCTCTATAAAAATGTGAGGGGTTTTATTATTATTACTAATCTTGCCTCTCAGAGGTAACAAAATCAGATGGACTGTGTAAGATCTGGGCAGCATCTTAGGCCCAGACTTGAAGCTTTTCAGTTGTATCTCCTTAAGGTAGTAAGTATAAACATCTCCTTCCGTCATATCATGACACATATCAATACTGCCTCTTCCTTTTTTTAGTCCTTAGCCAAAGTGGTCAGCGCCCAAAGAATGGAATGCTCTGTGAATGTTTATGCAGTTTTTATACTGCACAAGGGCTCCTGGGAGCTCGCAGGGGCTGGAAGCCAGCCTGTGTTCTGTCCCCTAGGCCATGGGCCACTCTGAGGGAATGATTTTTTTCTAATTCTCACTAAGGTGCTGATTATATCAGCAATGACCCTAAATCAGAGCATCGGTTACTGACTTGGATGTATTTGTGGTTTTCCCCTGCCCCAACCTGCGATGCCTGACAACCCAGTGAAACTTGAATGTTATGCCAATATCAAAACTTTCAAGTGAACAGACTTGTAACAGGGGCTGTTTGTTGATGAAGAAAAGGAAGTAACCACAGATCAGAGATTTCAAATGGAAAGATACTTTAGAGGTGAGCCAGCCCCATCCCCTCACTTTACAGATGAGCAAACTAAGGATCAGGAGGATGTGAGGTGTGTGGCCTGTCACAGAGCTGGTTCATGGAGGGGCTACAATCTGAGCTCCTTCTCTCCATTCAGGAATAGCAGATACTATTTATGGTCTCTATCACCTGGACCTTATGTCCCTCACACACAGGGGCATACACAGGAGCTCCAATGCTGGCATAGAGGTAAAACTGAAGAGACTGTGCACTTGAAGGCTGAATCTTCCCTAAGTGGCCTCTGGGACAAACCAGTGGCAGATGCTGGAGAGATGTGGACAGATCTCAGTCTTTAAGGCAATCTCCATACCATTTCCCGTCCCTTCCCTTTCCTCAACCCCAATCTTTAAACTTTTCTTAAGAGTTCCCAAGGACCCCTCGCAAAGGGAAACAGCATCTGGTGCCTTCATTAACTAAAGCCCCATTAGTGTTTCATCAAACTTGTCATGAAAACTGTTTCACCTCAGAGATAAGAATGCGGGTTGGAGACCAGTGGACAAGTCAGTATTACACAGGGGATATTGAGACATAACTTCCCAGTGGGTGAGAAAGGCTCCAGGTGAAAAATAGGAGCTCATCAGACTTGTTACAGGCACAGCAAGAGATAAAGACAGTGATAAGATAGGGTTTTTTTCTTCTCAGAGCAGCACAAGGAAAATCTACAGCAAATTCTTTGAAGGCACTCCCCAAGGACACAAGCCAGCTCAGCTTTCTGGCTTTTCCCCCATATCAGCCTGAACCATCTAAACAGAGCACCAACTGACGACATGAATGGACATTTAGTGGAGGCCCAGAAAGGGTAGCTAAATTCCAAAAAGAACCTCACACAAACACAAGATTCCTTTCTTAGGGGCAGCTTCCAGGGGACCATGGCAGTGTCCAAACCAAGCCATGCCCCTGGGAAGAGACTTCCTCCCACGATTGTTAGCAGTCTGTGACGTGGAGTTTGTTGCTAAGAAATGAAAGAAAACCATGACTGTATTTCTGGGTCAAAAGAGAAGAGAAAATTGTGTTTGCAAGACACTGCAAACTTACACTCATTCATACTGTCTCTTATTTCCTCCTGTTAGGATGTTTTTTGGTTGACTTTTACTCTCCTCTGATACAACACTAATTTTAAACCAGATAGGCTTAAGGAAAGCCCATCAGCCCATCAACAATTTCTTTTCATTTTCCAGGCAAGTCACAAAAGGAAATTGGCAGAAGAGAGAAAAATATATGAATAATGGCAATAACGGTAGTTGTATGCTATAAGTACTTTTAGTCATCAAATTGTCCTGAGAGGGGATAGAGTTGAGGGCACATAGATTTAGAAAGGGG